TAACAAAAAGAAATTAAAATGCATTGTAATGATGTGCTTTATCTGGTCATGATGTCCAAAACAGTATTATTTCACCATGTGAAATGTGTATTGAAATTGATATGTAACAATGTCAAAACAGTATCAAAATAATATGAACAATATCAAAATAATAAAAGTTAAGATACTTTTGGGTCCTAAGTCTTTGAAACTGGTGTGCATTTGCTCACACTTAACAGCACATCTCAGTTCAGACCAGCCATGTTTCCAGGGCTCAGCAGCCACGCGGGGCTGCCGTATTGGACAGCGCAGCTCTGGACCAAGTGCCGAGCTCCTCACGGCATTATCTCTGTCCTCACAAGGGTACTAACATTTTTATAGAGAAAGAAACAAGAGTAACTGACCTAACCAAATTCACAAAGTTAGTAAGTGGCAAAGCCATGATTTGAACCTAGGCACCCAGTCAACATCGGCTGACTAAACAGACCGTCCTCCAGACGAGAGCCCCTGCATCTAACCACGTGTGTTTTAAATGCAGGATCCAAACATTATATTTTCTCTGAGGACTCTGAAAGTCCTGTGCTTGTACACCAGAGGCATAAAATGTGTTTGCATTCCAGAGAAAGTGCTTAAGGAGCAAAATATTTCCAATTTTTTAGGACATGCTACATTTGAAAAAATTTCAACTGATTAATAACTGTGCCCCACATACTATCTTTCAGTTATATATCTTTCCTGATACATTTTTCTCACCCTCATTTTTAGAGGAAAAAATTGTTTCCTCACACAGCTGCATCATGCATGCATGCATTTTTCTCCTTTAAATAGCCACTGTGGCCAAAAGATAATTTTCTAATAAAAACAGTCTTTCCCCTCTCTCCTGACAAAACAAAGCACTATATTCAGGGCAGTCAGCTGAAATTTTGCATTGTTACACTTTACTGTGGGAATATAAATTGATTTAGAATTTCTGGAAAGAAGTTTAGCAAAACATACTGAGATTTAAAGGTATGATATTTCTTGACTCAGAAATTCCACTTTTAGGAATTTAGCCTGAGGAAATAATGAGGACTGACTGTTGATAAAAATTTTGGACAAAGATTTTCAAAGAGTATCATTATAGCAAAAAAGAAAAAAAAGTCAATCTAAATTTCCAGTGGGAAAATGATTAAATACATGTGATGAAATATTGTACACCCATTAAAATGTTTAGGAGTTTAATGATGTGTGGGAAAGCTTGCAATATATTGATTAGTGGAAAAAGCAGTTTATATAAGCAATATGACCTCAGTGATGTAAAAATCTACATTACAGACCGGACTATAAGTCTTGAAAGGGAAGAAGGGTGGCAGCTGTGAGCTGAGGTCACTTTTAGAGACTCGCAGTGGCGCCTGCTCCCCTCCCACAGGTTATCAGTTCTGGGTACAGGAGGGCAGTTCCTACTCTCACGGGGGTTAGTCAATTTCCATACCTGATACTTGAAAGGAAAATGCCCCTGAAAACTCACAAAATCTTCACCCCTTTGCAGTTCTCCTTGTGACATAATTCTACGCAGAATCCCCATATAAAACAGACATACTGCACAGACACGGGGCTCTGGGGTAGTCCCTGCTCGACCTTCCCTCACTCGCCACCAACAGTGGTTCTTGAAGAACTGCTGTAAATCTTTAGAATGCTGAAGAACCAGAAAATCCCCATCCCAGATGAATCAGTGCTGTGCAGTAACCCAGATGAAAGATTTCAAAGGTTAATATGGGTTCATTTGCACGGCAATGGACCAGGGCTCAGACACTGAGAAAATCTCCCTTTGCCTGTTTGGAGGGAATATAGATGAGTCTGTGCGCTTATCATTATGTTACAATAGTCAAATTCAATAGCTTGTAATAATGAAAAAGTATTTATGTATAACTGAATCACTATGCTGTACACCAGAAACCAACGCATTGTAAATTATCTATACTGCAATAAAAACAAAGTAAAACCCCCCAAAATAGCATGATGTGACCTGATAGCACATTCTAAACAAACAGCCCTTCCAAAAAAAAAAAACGAAACAAAAAGAAAGCAAATAAAAAACCTGAAACAAAGTCACCACTGTATTTTAGTTGTTCTTTTCTACCTAGAGTTATTCTCCATTAATTATCAAGCATCAAATCTCACTACAGCTTTGAAATGTCTCCTTTCTTTTTATTAACTGCAACTAGTTATAATATTATGCATTTTGTGTATTAAAAAATTTCCCTTTCTTTAACTTGTTCCCACTCTTTATGCTACTTTTCAGAGTTCTTAAGTACATTCTTTCACCTTCTTTCTTCTGGGGACTTTCAGCGTTTATTCAGAGAGAGGAACGTGGCAGGGTGAGCATCCCATACTGTCCCAGCCATTTCTCTCTGCCTTGCCCTGCTCTACCCAAACGTGTGGGTACATTTCAAGAGGAAGAGGCAAAGGGAGGCAGAGATGCAGAGTGAACCCAAGGATTCTGGGAGCAAATGCACAGGGAGGCTTGTTCTTGTTTGAGGTCCTATGCTCACAGAACCATATCAATTTGGAAGCCCTTGAATACCCTTCCTGTTTAGATTCATCTGAAGAATCAGGAGTGCATGTCTGGGCAGTGACAAGAGGCTAAAGAAAGCAGTGAATATTTGTGAAGAGGGGAATTGATTTTCCGTAATGAGATGCCAGAAACACTGATCCATCAGGCACAAGCCGAAGCAGAGGATGAGAGTTCCATGGGTCTGAATCCCATGTCTACTTCTGTGACAAACTTCCGGACGCAGATTTGGGGCAGGGCAACGAGCCTGTCTCTGCTTTGTGGGTGACTGGGAGCTACCGGATGGCTTGGAGCCCTGGTGCACTTGAAAATGGAGACAATACTTCCCCCACAGATGTTATGACAAGAAAATGAGATCACATGTTATCAGCTGCCATTTAAAAAATGAACTGGAACTCACTAAGCAGTTATATAGAAAGCAACGTTTAAAGCACAGGCTCTGGGTTCTAATTCTGGCTGCACCCCTGTCTCTGACCTCAGTTTCCATGCCTGTAAAATGCCTGGAAACTGCATTAGCATCACAAAGGCAGTGCCTACCTCCCAGGGCTGTTATGAGGACCATCAATGAAGGTAGCCCAGGTGGCAGGCTCAGATCAGCACCTGGCCCAGGAATTGCTCAAGAAATATTAGTGATTTTTTTTTCTAACACATGCACATTCTCTTCTTTACTCAAACGGAGGGCAGTGAGGATTTTAAACAGTCAAGATTTTCTTCCTTCTAGTTACTTCTCCCCAAATAGTAGGGAAGCAGCAGCATTGCTGGTTAAGTTCACCTGACCAGCCCTGTAACCTTGGGAAAATTACATAAGCTTGTTGAAATGCAGTTTTCTGCCTGCAAAACAGTACTGATGTCGGCTCTTACGTAACTAGGGGCCTGATACGTAGCAGGCTAGCTATTCTGTTCTATCACCATCAGTATCATGTAACTTATCAGCTGTTTCGAATACTGACAGATTTCTTAGGTGTCATGGATTTGGCCACTAGTTATAATACTTAACGGAGATTCACTGAAATTTTAGCTAACTCCTAACTCCGATTAGAAACATGGTAAAAAGCAGGGGAGGGTATAGCTCAGTGGTAGAGTGTGTGCTTAACATACACAAGATCCTGGGTTTAATCCCCAGTACCTCCACTAAAAATTTAATTAAAAAATACATAAAGAAACCTAATTACCCCCTAAAAAATAGAAATAAGAAAGATAATAAAAAGTTATTACAGACATGAAATGTTCTTTGTAATAAATTTAGACATTAAATATAAATTATTAAGAGTCCTTGGTACCGTCACATAATTTAGGGGACTTTCCTAATTTTTTATTAACATAATAAAACACAATACTGTATAAATACTTAAATAATATATTTGTAATATGATGGATATATTCTTGGGTATGTAGATAGGAGAAATGGAGGTAGTTCTAACACTATCAAGTGACAGGGCTGTACAGCCAGGTAGTCAGTCAACCCATATGACTCAGTTTCCTCCTTTGGAAAGTGAGGCAACATTATCTGTCCTATCTGTTTCAAAGAAATGGTCGTGAGTCTCAAATTATGATGATTTACATGAAAAAAATTCTGAAAATGTATAAGATGCTTTGGCATATTGAATATTCTTCCTCTTACCATTCCCCTTACTAGATGAAGCATTCGCTGAGCATTTCCTGCCTGTAAAATGAGAACACCGCTGGGTGGGGCCAGGCATCACCAAGCAGCCGTGGGAGGCCAGTGAAACCCCATTGGAGAATCAGAGCTGCAGACAGAATAGAATTCATACAGTGCAGCCAGGCTCTCCTGGGCACCTCTGCGGGGAATGAGAACCCCATGGCTGTAGACGATTCTAGCTAAGGGCTCATCCATCTGTTTCCCTGACCATCCCATACACTGCTAAGTGTGGCATCTCCACGCCAGAGAGAGGGGACAGGGTGGGGGAGGCAGACTGTCAGAGCCCTCTCGCTGTCTGCTCGGGCCACTGGTGACAATTTCTACACAGGCAGAACCACCAAGACGGAGCGCATCAGGTGAAACACCATCAGACTCTGTTCTGTTCTCACTCCCTGCCTCCCTGTGCCCTGTCCCTGTCTTGTTTTCTGTCCCTATCTTTCAGTGTCCTTATCTTTGGAAATAAATCTTAGGTGACTGTTGTTGGTTTTATTATTAAAAAAGCACTACCTGCACAGTGTAGGGAACTGGAGAACTACCAAAAGTTGTGAAATGGGTAACAGAGATCCCAAAAGTCCCTCAAAAATGTGACAGCCCAGAGAAAACTGCTGCTGACATTTGCTCTCTCTCTCACCAGGCCTGCAGGAGCTATAAAAAATATAGTTGAAATACTTACAAGTTGGTGAGACCCAGAGAAGCCAAAATTGAGTATGAAATTTTAACCTTAAAGCCTAAAATCCCAATGTGTTGTGCTATACGTCATTCTTTGTGATGTTTTGAACTAAACGTTTAAAAACTGAATTTTTTCTTTAGGGTCTGCCTTTCTTAGTGCTCTTTACCAAGATCTGAGCAAGCCTCAGCTTGCCCATGCTCTCCGCCTCCCCCCCTCCCTGACACAGGACCCGCGCAGGGCTGCTTTAGAAGATGCTCCGTGAGCACAGACAAGCCTGTGACCAGGTGAGCTGGTTCACAAACTGGATGGCCAGTCATCCAACAGATACTCATCCACCAGATACTCCCAGCCAACAATAAAGCAGTAATCACAAATACTTAGCCACTGATCTCACAAACCACTCTCCAAGACAGAAGGACCTCCTCCACCTGCAGACTGGACAAGACTCCATACTCTGAGTAAAAGGAAAACTGAAGGGGTCACAAGTGAACAGAGACGGTGAGACAAGGGACCCTGATCTCCAAGGATCAGGTACCATCCACTGACAGCCCCAAGGGGCCTCATGGGAGTCATGACCCCACAAGCCACCCACGGATTACAACTGTCCAGTCCCTCTCTGATTTATCTATTAGAGACGCTCATTCACTGACCCTTAAAGCCCTGACTGTCCACGGATACCCCCACTGTAGGGGTGGTGGTTACATGAAAGCAAACCTTCCACAGCTGCCCATACATGAAATGGGGTGAAAGTCTCCCGCAGTCACTGGACGGGGACTGGGGACTTCACAGCCACAATGCATTCTTCAGGAACATGCATGAGGAATTTTCTTGGAGAAGAATTTAAACGATCTCTCTGATTAAGGCTACCTATAATTCATATTCTTCTATATAAACAAAGAGTTTTTTCCCCCTCTATCCTGGCTGAAAATAAGACTTAACATTTTCCTGATGTTCCACGACTTAGATATACCAGGGTGCTCTCTTTGCCAGAGGCCAATACAGCCACCCAGAGCTTTCCCCGGAGGACGAAATGGGTGACAACGCTGTCCTGACCGGCTCCAGTTAGAACAGCCTCCTTGGGTCTGTTTAGTCCTCTCAGCCAAGAACCTGCTTCCTTGGGCTCTGTACAGGATGAATTTGTTTTCTGATCACTTTCGCTTTATTATTTCACTCCCTCCAGGCACAAGCCACCATACAGATAAACCACTTTTCTCTGAGTAAAGGAAATTGAATTGGCTGCATTCATAATGGAGCTCTAATTTTTTCTCCATATTTCCCAGCAGCTTTGCAGATGGTATTAAGAAACAGGCACCTGTGTCTCCCTGTTGAAAAGCCAGGCCCTTCTGGAACTACGTTGCTGCTAATGTAACCAAGAAGCTAGAGGCAGCGGGACCCAATCCTTCACCCAGCGCACCAGCCAAGGGCCTCTCTCGCATTCTAGCTGTGTGCTCAAAAAGAGAAACACAGATCACCAATAAAGGCAAGAAAAATGTCCAACCACTCTTAAGTTTTGCCTTTCAAATGATCACATCTTTAAAAAAAAATCATTATACTCAGTTTTGTAAAGCTCCAATAAGAGATATTCATATATATAATTTGGTGGAGGGTGGAGGGAGTGAAAGATATTTTTGTCTATTTATGTGATGGAATAATGTATGCCCATTAAAATTAAAATTGTGGAAGAATATTTACTGTCATAGAGAAATACTTGTTATATTAAAAAGTGAAAAAGCAATTACAAAAGAGTATCTCTAGCATATTCTACTATTTGTTGAAAATATATAGATGGATTATACATATTCATACCACAGTTTGAACATAGGAGATTGCAGGTGCTTTTTCAATTTTGGAATTGTGGTTTTTGTATTTTCCAAATTTGCCACAATGACTATAGTATGGCTTTTAATTTCAGATTAAAAGAAAATAAAACAACATATTTGGCTTCTGGCAAACTCTGTTCCCAGGAGAATATTCCTACATGCTTTCTTTTACATAAACAAAGGCTGTCCAGGCTGCATTTAGAATTCATTCATTCATTCATTCGTTCACTAATTCGGCAAGTATTAATTTAGCTCCTACTGCATGTCAGAACATCTCTGGGCGGTGGGGACAATGTGGGGGCGAGGCAGGCACAAGTTTTTGCTCCCATGGAGCTGATGTTTTAGTCAAGGGAGACAGTCAACAAATGGACAGGAAGACAAATAAATAAATTAGAAAGTGCTCAACAGTGCTAAACACTCTTACAAAAAGATGGGGTGATGGCACGACAGAGAACAAATGGCTAGGTTTGGGGAATTAGTCAGAATTAGGTCCTTAGGGAAGACTTTCCAAGGAGTGGAAATTTGAGCTGAGACTTGAAGAAATAGCCAGCTAAAGATCAGAGGAAAGGTCCCCTTATGTAAATGAAACAGCTGTGCAAAGGCCCTGAGGTGGCACCCAGCTCAGAAGACCAGTGTGGTAGGAACACAGAGATTCAAAAGGAGGGCAGTAGGAAATGGTCTAAGGGTGGGGAGGGGGCCAAGCATGCTTAGATTTGAACCTAACTAGATCTGAGTTCCACTTACAAAAGATTACCCTGGTTGCTCTGTGGAAAACGTGGGTTGGGACAGGGGGACAGTGTAGAAGCAGAGATACTGTTATCTCCTGAGGGAGACAAGAGTGGCCACAGCTGGAGTGGTGCAGGGTGGATTCTGGAGTCTACTTGAAAGGGTAGAGCGAACAGGATTTTGCTGATGGATTTGACGATTTTGTACCTTATGATACCACTGGGCAGTGGGAGAAGTTTAACCAGAGAAGATGAGCATTTAAAAACTGACTCCTCTGCTCAGGATGGGCCAGTGCTGGGAAGTCTGCTCTGGGAAGGAAGGGAGCCTGGCTCCTAGAGACACGAGACAGGACGGGAGCTCCGTGCAGTCTGTCAACCAGCAGAGCAGGGGGAGGCCCCAGCCACAGGGTCAGGGTCCGGAGTGTGGTCCAGCCCGAGGGAGAGGGGCTTTCCAGGCTCTTGGAGGAGTCCGGGGGCAGAGACTCAGGAAGGGTGCAAGGCTGACAGGCTGATCGAGAGAAGACCAGGCGGAGCAACGGGGAGAGCAGGGCTCACAGCCAGAGCCAAGGGGCCGGGCTTCAGCTTACTCATCCCCTCCCAGGGAGCCTAGGGTTGGCCCTGGCGTCTGGGTGGGGCTGAGCCTGTGCTGAGGGGCCAAACTGAGCAGCTGTGGCAGCGGCTCCAGCAGGGACTGACAAGCCCCCAGATCAAAAGCGCTGCTCTCTTTTTTGAATATGGATACACCTTCCTTTAATGGCAAAATCCAGTCTGTGTTCAAATTATCAAGTGGGTCATCCTGCAAACTCTGTTTCTCTATCAGCCAGAGCATCTGCCCATTTTCACTTTTTTTTTTTAATGCTGAAGTGGAGATTAGGGGGTTAAAAAGGTTCCAAATTGACTTCTAAGAGGAGACATTAAACACTGTGAGGGGTCTCCCAAGTGAGGAAATACTCATTTTATATTCCCTTTTAAGCCAGCTGACATTAATTTTCAATTTTGTGGTAGAAGTCTGCAACCTACAAAAATAAAGGAAAAAAATTTAACCCTGCTTTTTATAGCTCACTGTGCCCCATGCTTACTGTTTCACTAACCACATTTAAAAAGATGTTTATATCTGGTTTTCTGAGGTAATGACAAATGATCTAAAGCACATATTAAATGTCTGTGTTTAAAGCTATTTGGAAAAGGAGTTATAATGACTTGGAATAAAATTATGTACTTATTTAATTAAATACTTACTTTTCATATGCATATAAGAGCCACATATATGTGCATTTTAATAAATCATAGTGGCTTAATGTAAAAAAAAGCGTGTAATTAAGAACAGCAGGAATGTGGGGGAAGAATTATTAAAGGATAGTCAGACTGCGGAGGAAACTGAGAAATCATCTCACCTTGTTTTATAAAAGATGAAATAAGATCCAGGCACTGCCAGTGTCCAGCAGGTACCAGAGCAGAAGTTGGTGTTCGTCGAGTGAACGCAAGAACCCCAGGCCTCTCAGTCTATCCAGCACAAGCAAGCAGAGTCCAGCGCTCGTGTGACCCGGGGGCTTGGGCCCCACAGAGCACCTCAGTGACCGTGACACAGCACCTAGCCGAGAGCTTGGCAAAGGCCTGGACTGTGCTGGGTGACTCACCCTGGTTTACCGGCGTGGAAGACCAAAAGCACGTAAAATGGCACGTCGCCGCCGTAACCAGGGCAGAGAGACCGCGTACCTATTTTAGGAATCTGGAGATTTGGCATGAACAGGGCTTTCAGAGTTTCAAAAACATGCGCTGCCTTTTCTCCTTAGTGGACTCAGCTCTAAGACCTAGAGTAGCTGGAGCCAAACTTTTCGGGAGGGAAAAAAATGTTTGCTCCTACTTAGGAAAAATAGCTATTTATGTATAAATTGGATACATGTACAGCTCTCTTGATATATCCTGTCCATTAGAAAGCCTACACATTAGGAATTTTTTGAGGAGGTGATGAAAGTAAAATAGCAATGGAAGTCTGAATGGTTTCTCCCTCCACCCCAGTGGGTCACTGTATAAACCGTGGTCTGGAAGCCACGGCTCCAGGACCTCCAGCTCACCATCAGCCAAGCCAAGACGGAGGCTGCACCCCTCAGCAGGTGGCACTGGACGTGCGCCCCATGGACACACCCAATGCCCAACCATATTTCCACTGAACCGAGCCTCGTTTCTGAGCCCTGCCCCTACGGCCCAAGACCTACCATTACGGGTCTACCTAAAATTTAGAGTAGAAATAGCACGTCCTGCCCAACTCCTTCTTTCACATAATCAGCACTGGGTCCTAACAGAAGAGCGGGGAAGCAAGGGAGATTGTGTGAGCTCCTGCCTCAGTGGAAGCCTGGGTACCACAGAGAACAGTCACTTACTACTCGCTACCAACCTGCCAGCAAAAACACTAGGAAACAGAACCCCACGCTGACTGAAATCCAGAAAATTGTATAGCCTCTGCTTTCTGATGACAATGGTTTATCAGTATCTTCACTTTCCCTCTCCCGTGGTTTCTTAGGGATGTGGTGGAAGGGTTTTCTCATCCAAGCGCCAAGCAGAACGTCTTCCCTATCGCAGACCACACTGTGGCTGTCACAGCTGCTCATGTTGACGCTCCCCCCTGGCTCCCACCCCAACCCTCGAGGACCGTGACAGGATTACTTCATGGGATGCTTGACTGACACATTTTTTTTTTCACCGCAGCTGAATCCTTTAGAGCAATTAATTATTCATACTTAAGTGCAGCAGCCAAGTGCCCAGCTGAGCAGGAGGAGTGATTTGGGAAGCTCCAAACTGAATCACTTTTACTAATAAGACAAAGATTCTCAACATAGACTCCGAGTAATTAGAACTAAGCCCGGAGTGAGCCATTCCTTACTTAACAAATTCAGCTTTAAAATCAGAACATCATTCCCAGAGGGGAGACAGCCTTCCTGCATGAAGTCTGTTTGCCCTGCTGTCCGGCATGACTAGGAATTCTGTTTGGTGTGGCACCCGCTGTCCACAGCCCTCTCACCCCTCGTGTGGAGGTGAGGCGATGCTCCCTTGTGTCCCGGACACTTCCCGGGGGTCACTGGGCCCTGGCGTGCTGTGACTGAAGAGCAAACACTCAAACCCTGCCCCGAATATGCATCAGCTCCTCTCACTGAATCACGAAGGTTCCTGACACGTATAGGATGAGATGTCTCTGCTGATAATTTATTTGATGTAATTGAAAAACAGATGTAGCTCCCCAGTGAACAGTTCTGTTTTTGCAAAAAGAGGTTGAGCCGTTTTAGATGTGTTTGATGTCGTCTACGATTCCCCCGCCAGGAATTTGACAGCCAGGACCTCAAGCCCAGCACTTGGTCCGCTCTGGGTCCACGCCAAGGAACACAACATTCCATAAAATGAACAATTTATGGGAATTAGCCAACTACAGAGCTGAAATGATGTTCACTGTTGGTAGCGTATGAGGCGAAATCCAAAAGCCTTGCAAGAGAAAAGCACTTAAATTGCATCAGGAACAAGGCACTGGGCTTCCCCACAGCAGTGTAAATACTTCAGACTTCAAAGATCTCTTTCAAGTGATACAGACGTCTTAGGAGTGCATAAGTCATCAGTAAATACAGGAAGCCAGGTTCCAAAGATGAAACAAGCTCCAAAGAAGAGCACAAAAGGGGCAGGTGAAAGCTTTGAACCGCTTGCAAACGTGAATTTGCAGAGCTGGCTCAGGCCGTCCTCTCTTCCCCTGAGTGGCTCTTGGCATCTCCTACCCTAGAGGAGGTGCCGACCCAAACTGTGGTTCCTTCTTCCTGAATTCAGTAAGCGTGATCACGAATTCTGAATTCGGGCTCTGCTAATTCGATATTGCAATGCTAAATAAAACCAGGAGCTGACCTCTGTTCCACATGGGCTCCTAGCTCCTGTGAAGCAGGGTCGGCTGCTGTATGCCTGTCAGCAGTGGGAGACAGAGCGGGCCAGGAAATGGAAAAGTTCTGGAGAGCCCAAACCTGGGCAATGCGAAAATGATGCTTAAAGCAGCACTTTGTGAGCGTTCTTTCCAGTTCAGGATATTAACCCATTTGCCCACATTTGCATTAAATATGCTCCCAATTCACTGTTTGACCTACAGTTCAATTTATGATAGGTTTTCATGCACTCGTATTTTCAACATTAAGTACACAAAGCAGGAATTTTAAAAACTTCACGCACAGGATGATCCAAATGGCATCAGAATGCACAGGGAAGAAAACTGTTAACACGTTAACGTCGATTGTCTCTAGGAGGTAGCACAATCTGGGAAGTGATTTTTTTCTGCTTGTTTATGCTTTTTTGTACTTTTGAGATTTTCTAGAAGATGATGAATTATTTTATAATCAGAAAATACAAACAAATAGCAACTCC